GATGCAAAAAGTTACCATGAAACTTTTAGAAACGATGATTGTCTAACAAAGCACTCACAGGTTGATATTTTCCATTATAACAATCAATTTTAAAATCCGCCATAAGGGCCCTTTTGTCAATTATGGTCACATTTTAATACAGTATAATAGGTAAAATGATAATATTATATTATTTTATTAATGATGTTTGTTTGTGTGTTGTTCCAGGTGATGCTGGTTTTTGTACCAGTAAGTCATTACAGCTGCTAGGATGGAATGGGTGTGGTCTATCTTTTATCATGTGACAGTAAACAAAAATCAATTGTACGTTTTATTAATGTATACCATATAGCTAGAAATTTCTGTGGCCCAAAATTTTTGCAAATTTTGTGAATTTGAACAAAATCGCAAAAATTAAATCCTCAAAAATAGTAAAATTAAAAGGTGTGGCTCGCCACACCTTTCCTCAGTGTAATTAATAATTATAGTGAAGCACATGGCGTGTTCTTGGCACTGTTCCAGTACAATTTTAAGCAGAGTCGAAGAGTAATCCTATCTTGCCTAATATCCTGATCATGCTTTGTGTCATCATCAGCTATAGTTCTGGTAAGTAGTGAAGAGCAGCCATTGCTGATCAAGTGAATTCGCAAAAATAAAAACTGCAAAAGCCATTTTTTGGCAATTCCGGCACAGAAATTTTGGGCCACAGAAATTTCTAGCTAATAAATACAGTATTTTCTCTTATTTCCATTCTCTCTCTTTTTCTCTCTCATTCTCTCTCTCTCTTTTTATAGTCCTTGGTCCATTATGCCAGCTAGTCAACTTCAAAGCACAAGCTAATGTAAGCATATACCATATACATGTATCTGGTAATTATACTATATCTCAACTGAGTTTGACAGCAGCCCTTGTGAAAAATCCCAGCAAGATCTTATAAGGTTTTTCATGATTTCACATGATTATACAAGAAAACATAAGATAGTAATCTTGTAAAATCTTAACACAGAAATTCTTGCAAATTCTTATTTAAGATTTGATAAGATTTGAACAAGCTGTCAGATCTTATGAGATCTATCATAACAATAATTCTTGTAAGAATTTTAAAGATCTTATGAATAAAGGAATATGTCAGAAAATGTAAAATCATGCCTCACTTAAATCTTGTAATACCACACCTTGTAAGAACTAAGATGATCTTGTTAAATTGAAATCTAATAAGATCTTACAAAATCTAGTAAGTTTATCATCTTGAAGAATCATCCATGATCACATGACACATAAGATCACTCATTAAGTCATAAAAGATCTTGAAAGATCTTACAAATTGCATGACGTCACAGGAAGTGGTAGACAACCCATGATAGCCTTTACGATAATGGCAGTATATAAAGAAAGTAAAATTTCAACATAATTAAGTCAAAAATTAATGAAGTTCACATTAACCTTCACATCATTAAGTAATTCATTTATGCATTGTAAGATCTTGCTCAGATCTTACTGTTACATCTATTTTTCATAAGCTGAAACTTCATGTAAGAACTTAGCTAATATTTTAAAATCTTGATAAAGCAAGATCCCATGATATCTTTCATGTTCTTTGTTTCAAAATCAGGTAAGATCTTGCTGTGATCTTAAGGTAAGATCTTGCTGTGATCTTAAGGTAAGATCTTGCTGTGATATTCTAAGAATTTGGTAAGATCTTGAGAAAGATCCTGTAAGATCTTGCTTACATTTTGATAGCAAGATCTAACACTATCTTACATAATCCTTGTTTCAAAATCAGGTAAAATCTTGTGAAATATTAGCAAGAATCTTGTCAAGAATTTTAAAGAAACTTAACAAGAATCTTGCAGGGATTTTTCACAAGGGAGCTGCTTGGAATTTGAAATATGTAGCCATACATCACTAATGATGTCTTATAATGATATTCATAGAAGCATGGCTGATATTTTACAGCTGCATGGCTGGCCTGTATTTCACTCTTAAATGGGTTTTGTTTGTTCTGATAAGCAGTACAATAGCTGCTGGAGTCAACTAGTCTTCATAAAGGCCATCATTATGGAAAGATCTTGCTCTGTTAGCTTTTAAAGAAGAATTATCAGTTTGGGCAAATGACTACATGTTCTTATGTAAACTATGACATAGACAAATTGTCATAAAACGTCATTTTGGTATGCCATTGGGTTTATAGGGAGAACCCGGTTCTCAGGGTTCCCAAGGGCTGAGAGACCCAAGACCTGAGATCCTGTGATGGCATTGAGTGACTAAGAACCTGTGAAAGTTTCATCCTTATCCCGCATTCCTATAAAAAGTTATTCCAGTTTTTCTTAGGTCAAACTCAGTTGGGATACAGTATATCTGTTTTAATTGTTTGCATTTAAATGATATTTCTCTCTTTTCATTCTTTCTCTTTTTTAGAGTAGATGATTCTATATGATAGCTTACAATTATACTGACTATGTTTTTTGGTAATTTTAT